GCTTTTGTTTTATTGTTTTAATGCTGCTGTGTTTTTGGACTGTTTTCTTTTTTAATTGTTTTGTATTTCTAGTTTTGTTTTGTATGGAGTCTTGTATGTTAAGCCACTTCAGACAATAATGTGATGGAAATACAAAATATACTTTTCTCCCAGTTTTTTTGTGCTGAATTGCTTGGCTTTGCTCTTGGCTTTGATGTGTGAAATAGATTTTTAAGAACTTGATTTTTTTTTTAACATGAGTGGTTTCATTCTGTTTAATGCATTTTATTATTTTTTATAAGCCACTTTGAGAGCTTATTCATATACTTAGATGGTGGGTGTTTTGTTTTTTTAAAAAAAGAAATAAAATGAAAGTAACATCACTGACAAATATCAGAGCTAGCTGCCCCCCCCCATGTTCCTTAGAGCAAAAGTGGTCAGTTTGCCTCCCCTCCCCCACCTGACCCCACAAATTTTAGCAAAGGTGGAGAAAACAAAGTAGATATTATGCTGGGTGGGTGGGTGCAAATGTTTAAACCTCTCTGGCCAGCCAATACTGTTGGTGATGCAAATTGCTCCCTTCCCACTCATCAGATCAATCATCTGATGTCCAAAATAATCCCACTCCTCAGGTGCGAAGATCAACCGAGGAGGGGAAGACTATGTGAAGCCTGGGTCCATTCAGATGCACTTTATTCTGTCTCCCCATGTTTCCTTACTGATTAATTTCTGTGTTCTGTGTGATCTTTCACGCAACATAAAAGCCACTTCTGGAAATCTAGTGCAATCTAGTTTAGTCCACAATTCCATGTTTCCATTAAAAAAAAAAAAAAATCCCTTCACGACCCTGTTGAGTCTTAAACTCTCAGGAGTTTTGCGCTGTAATTTCCTGGGATGAAATTTGCAGTGGTTTCGCGACATACAGTTCCTTCTTGCGATTTAAAATTTAGCAACATGGTGGCATGGTGCTGAAAAAGCCACCGTTCCCTAACGCAACAGGTACTGCAGTGTAAAAGGAGCATTAGAAATCTGGACAGAAGGGCTAGCATTGTAACCTGTAAATAAACCCCATGTCTGAATGCAGCCTTGTCTGTACATGCTGAGGGGTTGACCACTGGTGAATGTGGTCCTCTGCCATAGAGAAGCAGAGTGATCTAAAACCATCAGCAACACGATGTAGCAGAAATGTGTTTCGGTTACCTGTTTTTGACAGTAAAGGTCACATCACGTTATATAATCAAAGCACTATTATACCACTTTAACCATCACAGAGAATCCTGGAAACTATAGTTTGCTAAGGGTCCTGATATTACAGAGCTCCAATTCCCTTAACAAATTACATCCCCTAGGAGTCTCCCTGTTAAAGTGTTGTAACAGGACTTTAAATGTATGGTGTGCCTGTGACTAAGGACTCTGAAACTGCAACCTCTGATCGAAGCTTGCAAATACAGTCTGAAAATACATACTTCTCCCTCTTAGTGTAAGTCCTTTATGTTCTTCTGATGCAAATTATATCAAAATCTAGCTGTTCTGCCAGCTCCCTGATCCTTCTTTGGTGAGCTGTTATGTCTTAAGCTGTCATTTACTCATGCTTGTATTCCACACGGGTTCCTACACCAAACATTGACTTTTCTTTTTGGTCAGTAGATGAAACTCTCTTGTCTGGAGAGACATTTGGGAGCTGTAGTGATTGAGCTTGCGAACATCAAGTGAGACAGAGCACAATTCGATACGGCTGTTCCCAAATCTGATTTCATAAAGATGAATTTGACAGCATCCTTCCATTAATTAAATTTGGAAAGGTGTTCTTGAGGATCGAAATAAAGTGAGGGCAAGTGGGATATTCTCCTGTGGATTTGGGAGGGTAGGGGGGAAGAGATTCTAAAATGCTATTAAATTTCCTCCTGAGAAGCAGTTTAGCAACACTAGTTCAGCCCACCTTCCAAACAATCTAAGGAAGACAGCAATGACCCACTTTGCCTGCTGTTTGCTCTAAGACCTTGATACTAGGTAGCACCTTAAATAATGAGGTCACTTTTGAGAAGGAAGGAGGCAGCTGAACTAGTTGGAGGTATGTTCAGTCTTCCCCCAGTTTGTGCAATTGCCAGAAATCCACAGCAGTTCAGACAGAAATGCAAAGGGCAACAATGAGTGAAGGAAAGAGGAGAAAGATCATCACTAGGGAAAGAGAGCTGTGCTTAATTTCATTTGAAACCAGAAATATGATGAACTGTGCACTCAGTTTCATGCCAATCTTTTGGTAAATTCATCTTCAACAAGGTCTGTAGTTTCTGTAAACCTTCTGTTTTATTCTACATCTAAAGGTGAGGCAGCAGGGAAAAGATTAAGGAAATGACAAACAATGAATATAAATAAATGGATTACAAGCGTGCCAACTGTTTTGTGCAACAAATTCTTCCACTGATTGTAGATTCATAATCTGTTTTTTCAATGGGACTTTAATTAGAGCTGCTTGCTGAAGGGGGGTGGTGAGAAGAGGCATGATCTAAAGCTATTCTATGGAAATTCCTTGTTCGCTTGGCACCGATCCATCACTGGCTGAACGCAATATTGGGGGTGTGCATCAACAGAAGGCATCCATCAAGTTTGGCAGGGCTCAGATGAACCTTTGGGAGACAGATACACATCCTCTGTGTGTGCAGCTCCCAATGGGGCTTCAAAAGCCTCTCATACACACATATCCATTGTTAGATGGGGAGAAATCTGAAACACATTTGTTGTATTTCAATAGTATGGGTTGGATCCATGCAGGGATAGGCGAATATATCAATTTTGGTTACTCTCTTTTTCTCCTAATCTTAATGTGTGTGTGTGTGTGTGTGTGTGTGTGTGTGTGTTTAGCCACTATGTGAATAGGATGTTGGACCAGATGTGTCATTGGCCTGATCCAACAGGCCCATATGTTCTTAGCCCTCTGATTCTGGGCAGGAGTAGGGGGCACCAGAAGAGGAGGATTCAGAAGTGGAGGATGGGAGGAGGCCTGCTTGATGAAGCCCCTGCCCTCAGATCCCAGATGCATTCAGACCTGACAAGGCAGGAGGGTCCAGGGTTATCCCTTTCCTGCCTGTGGAAGATATGGGGTATTGAGAGACCTGGCCTACCATATGAACCAACTCCTAGGGGCCTAGGTCTCTCTGCCAGCCCTCTATAAAATATTAGAGAGACCTGTCCCTTGCCCAAAACTGATGGCCATTGCCAGTCAAATGGTCTACATGTGCTGTGGCTTGTGATCAATTATGTGGGGTGGGGCTTACCTGCCCCCCAGTATTTGATTCAAGTTGGCACCCCTGTGACCTGCTGTGATGAAGCAGAAGAATTTTAAGGAGGAGACACACCCATCAATATCTTCTAGGGTGATGCAACCTATAAAGAACAGAGAGATTTATTCACCTCAAAGAAGCACAGTCTCCTGGCTAGGAATGATGGCAGAAAGAGGGGTTTCAGCCTTTTCCGTCCCTGCTTCAAAGTCTGGCATGGAGGTGAGGAAACTTGTTGAAGCAACTTTGCAGCTCACACGCAGCCTTGGAACTTTTGCTACTAATCTTAGGCTCTTGACCCTTGGCCTTTACTGTCGGACTAGATGTATTATTCGAGCTTCTCTGCCTTGTGGGAGCACCCTGACTAGACTCTGCTCTTTCCTAGCTACCGTTCTCTCTATCATTAGACTGCTCTGATAAAAGGTGACTTCTTTACTTACATGTAAGTTCTTTGGTCAACTGGTTTTGGGTGGAAGCCAGGACCACCTGGTCCCATCAGAAAATGCATTTATTTGTATTCATTGAAAGCATGTCTGCACCACCCTTCATCGGATGAGATTTTAGGGCAGGGGGCAACCCATATAGCTTAACCCATAGCTTAAAAAGGTAAAGGGACCCCTGACTGTTAGGTCCAGTCGTGGCCGACTCTGGGGTTGCAGCGCTCATCTCGCTTTACTGGCTGAGGAAGCCAGCGTACAGCTTCTGGGTTATGTGGCCAGCATGACTAAGCCGCTTCTGGCGAACCAGAGCAGCACACGGAAATGCCGTTTACCTTCCTGCCGGAGCAGTACCTATTTATCTACTTGCACTTTGACGTGCTTTTGAACTGCTAGGTTCACTGAGCCTCTTTGGTTTGCTGATCAAATGGTCGGCAGTTCAGATCCCCATGATGGGGTGAGCTCCTGTTGCTCTGTCCCAGCTGCTGCCAACCTAGCAGTTCGAAAGCACACCAGTGCAAGTAGATAAATAGGTACCGCTGTGACAGGAAGGTAAACGGCATTTCTGTGAGCTCTGGTTTCCATCTTGGTGTTCCGTTGCATCAGAAGCGGTTTAGTCATACTGGCCACATGACCCGGAAAGCTGTCTGTGGACAAACGCTGGCTCCCTTGGAATTCAAAGACAAGGAGCAGCATTTGAATTGGGCTTGGAAGTGACAAGGCAGCCATTGCAGTTCTTTTAAGCCTGGACCAATATGAACAAACCTGGCATGAATTAAAACTTCCAAGTCATCTTCAACGGCAGCCCCACGTACAACACCTTACAGTAATCCAGCTAGGACTCTACTACAGCATTGATCACTGCGACCAGAACATAGGCTCCCCAAAATATGAGGGGCCTGTCTTACTTCTTTTTTCGATAAATAATACTATACTCTTTGATTCTCCTAGGACCATGATTAGTTACTGTTCCATATCTGAAAGGGTTGGATTTTTATTTTTTTTAATGTGGTACTCTGGTTGAGTGGATTATTACAAAGAAAGCCACGCAATCCAATTATTTGCTGAGCCTCGGGCAGAGTAGGAAACTGCTGATAAATATAGACAGCCCATATGGGCATAGGAAATGATCTGCTTTCAACAAGAGTGACCACATGTTCTCAGTCAGCACTGAGTCAGAAAAGTTAACCCCGGTGTATGAATTGCATTCTTTCGGGATATGTCACCCTGCCCGGAAAGTCTAATCAAGGAGAAAGGAGAAGCAGGAAGCTCATTTCTTGATAGAATTAAATCAGAGGACAACCTCAGAGCAGAGAAATACGGAGGGGTGGGTGGGAATTAGACACTCTTCTCTCTTCCTTTGTTTTGACTCTTTTGCTATCTTAGATCAGTGCTGCCTATCCTGAGCTGTTGCACTTTCTAAATTTAAAACGGGATGTAACCTAATAGCAAGTTCTGCGTTTTAGCAACATCCCTTGAGAGAAAGTGGGGGAGGGGAGGAATATTTTATTATTTTGACTACCGCGTTCTATTGTTCGGTAGAACATGAGCTTATAATGGCACGTTTCGAAGAAACACTATTAAGTAATCGGATGTAAAACGTGAGTGCAATTATAAAATATTAAGCACTTGGCTAATGCAATTCTTTGAATACAATATGCTGGTATCATAAAACATTTGGTAGTTGGGGAAGTAAAATACAAGCTATGGCTTCATTAACCTGTTTTCCCCATTTCTTCAAAAATGGTATAGAGTGACAAAAGAGGATTGCAATACCTTTATTGGGACAAACTGCAAATCACAGAGCAGGGAGCTCAATTTTGAAATTCACAGAACTCTGCCTTTTGTATGATATTAATGGGGGTGGGGTGGGGTTGGAGAGAGGAAAATATTTTGCTTGCACAACCAGCTCTGCAGTGTGCTACTGTCTTAATATAATGATTATTGCCTAAAGGGCAATAATCAGGAAGTTTGTTTCTAGACTAACATCACAATCTTGTTCAGATGAGAGTCCTCTTAAATTCAATATGTCATCTTGTTAGTATTTCGGCACACAGTGAGACATTAAGAAAAGGGCATCTTAAGAGCAGGGCCATGAAAAAACTTCACAATATTTACCTTTGTGTCCGTGCCACTGATGGCAAAAGAAGTTTTCCACTAATGAATTGCATTCATGCACTAAATAATCTCCTGTTCACACATACCACTTAACATTACATCATTTGATTCCTTGGCACACTGAGTCCATTGAAAAGTGTTGCACTGGAGGTGAAACAAGACTTCTCTCTGTGGGATTTGTCTGATTCACTCAGGCTCATTAACACACTCAACTTGTCATCACTTGATGCTGCAACTATCAAGTGATGGCTGGACACACAGTCAGTTCAAAATGGAAGCTCCTGCTTTGTAGTGAGCCTAAGAAATGGCCCATCAAGGCCAGTACCATATAATCAATGGAGCTTTCCAATATGATTTATAGATGCGGGAAATGCCAACACTGATGTAAGCATAGATCCACAGGGAAACATGGAGAGGATTCCATGAGTGAAGGGAGCATCTGGCATCACTTATCAATGTTGTTCAAGTGAGACAGAAAGTGAAAGAGTGCCAATTTGAATTCATTGGTACCTTCCAGTCAATGCAGCTTTCATTGTGATTTATGGATACGGGAAATACAAAAACGGACATTGGCAGAGATGTGTGAAAACATCCTTAAGTTGCATCCCTATGCACACTTACATGAGGATAAGTTTCGCTGAGCTGAACAGAACTAAGGTCACACCCCCACCATGCATTTAAATCACTTATACCACTTTTGCAGTCATGGCTTCCCCTAAAGGATTCTGGGAACTGTAGTTTGCTTAGGGTGCTGAGAGATTTTAGGAGACATGCCACAGTGCTACAGGTCCAAGATCCCTTAACAAACTACGGCTCCCTGGATTATTTGAATGGGCGAAACATGAATTCTAAAGTGACATAAGAGTGTTCTAAATGTGTACTGTGGCTGTGACCTTACTTCTGAGTAGAAAAGCCTAGGAGTGTTAAAGATGCTTGTGTAGCAACATCAGTGGTGGTGGGGACTATACCTCAGCTGTAGAGCTTTGCATCCAGAAGATCTCATCTTCAATCCCTAGCATCTCCAGGTTGCTCTGAGAGAGACCCCCATCTGAAACCCTAGAGTAGATAGATCCATGGTCTGAGTCAGAAGGTGGCACCTTCCTATGTTTTGAACCACACAGTACCCTGGCAGTGCCCAGACAGATTGTCAAACGGAAGCCCTTGCCAGAGAGCTTTGTCTGAGATACCGGGAACTGAATCTGGAATTTTATAAATGCAAAGCATGTGCTACAACCCCTTCCTATGCATCAGCCTGCATTACTGCAGAAATGGAGACGGGTTGCACATGGAACGCATGCTGATTGCTCTCTGCATTGCACTGTGGTGCTGGCAGATAACTCATTGGCCAGGCTGGTGTTAGGAGCAAGTTGACCCGGACCAGGCAGTTTCTCCTTTCGCACCCCATTTCGGCCTCTCCTTGCTTACTGTTGTGCAGACACAGTCAAAACAGTTCAAATGTCACAAAATAATTGTTTTGGAATATCCGCCCCCAGCCACACACACACACACACACACACACACACACACACCTGTGACTGAAAGGAACATCTTTTCCTATGGAATGCTTTGCTTGTCAATGTTTTTGATGGGAGACAGTGAGAGAATACCAATTTGGAATCAAAGGCACTTTCCAGTAAAGGTAGCTTCCCAATGTGATTTATAGATATGGGAAATCATTTTTTAAAATGACATAAGCACAGATATGTGGAAACAGGCTGCAATCTCATGCATACATACTCAGGAGCTTCATTGATCTGAATTATGACTTGCCTCTGAGTAGGATCACACTCAGGAAGCCTGCACGGAAAGGACTGTGAAATTGTTCAAACCACACAGGCAGAGCAGCCTAATAGTAATATTAGCAAGATTTGGAGGAAACCTTATAAATGGCACTTATACAGAAGAAAAAAGATGCATTGTAATGTAAATTTCAAAGTGAGGTTTTTATGGTATATTAATGCGATGTAACCCTCCCCCCTACTTTGGTTACATTTAATTTAAAATTAGTCATGTGGATGACACCCTATTATAAGTAACAGCATTAACAGCATATGGGGTTGAGAACAATTCTTTAAAGATTAGGTTTTAAACCTGCCAAATAAATAATTAAAAAACTTTCTTATGCTCACCAGCCTTCTCCCACCTGGTACCTTCCAAATGCTACACAGATTGATTATTATGGGCTTGTGGTAACATGTAGGTGGGCTTTTTCACAGTTGGCACTAGTGTTATGGAATGCTCTCTCTGCTAAATACGAGAGGCCCCATCAGTATTGGCATTCCACGGGCTCCTGAATTCACACCTGTTTAAGGCAAGCATTCTCCTGAATTAATTGTCTTAACCATTTATTTAAAATGTTCATTGTGATGCTTTTTAATTGTTTGCTTCATTTTAAATTTTATTTAAGTCTTTGTAACACCTCAGTTGATGGACTATTGTGTATTTCAATTATGTGTGGATTTTTATAGTTATAAACCACTTAGAAGCCATTTTGGCATGTAAGTAGTATATAAATTTATTATTAATAGTAATAATCATTTCACTAGAAAGAGAGAAGATTAGTCATATAAGCACTGAGGGGGGAGAATGAGATCAGGGTTTCTGCAGGGGCAAGGTATCCATGACCCTCCTTGAGCTACAGCAAGCATGTCCAATGATCAAGAATGATGGGAGTTGCAGTCTAGCACCTAGAGAGCCACAGGTTCCTTACCTCCTGGGTTACTGGGTGTGTTGTGAGAGGAATCAGAAGACTACTTTGCCATGGATTTTAGATTTATCTTCCAATAGGTTCCACATCTCAATAGAGTCATTGGCAAATGATTGGTGCTAAGGCAAAAGACACATAATCAAACACAAGGTGAACTGCTTATTCAGTTTTCAACCTGAATATTCAGTATTCAATGGTTACTTGAAGGTTTGACTGTGTCTTGCCTTTATTGATCATCCAGATTGAGAAGTGTTTATACATCTTCCTGTTAATAATTCATCCATCCTACACTTTCACAGCACATTTCCCTATCACTTTCCTAACTGCAAACAGTCCATTTCCTTTAGAAGTGGATTTGTTGCTCCAGGGCAACGGAGTGCTTTAATCCACTTTAATTGTCCAAACCTAAATTTCCAGTAGCTGTTGGAATTCCTCCCACAGAATACTGATAGGCTGGAGTCACCCTTCCTTGCCGGTAAATGAAGAGCAAAAGGAAAATCTGTTGATATGTGTGCGTCATAAAAATTGTTTCAGGTGTGTGCTGGGTTCCCCCACAGCAGGTTTCTCAGACAACTCTTTCTCACAGCCTAAGCTGAATCATTTCTCTTGTTGAAGTGAGTCTGCTCTCAGGTACACAGAACCTAATCCGCACACAATCAGACAGGAATGAAGCATTGTGAGTCACCAAACCCAGTAATCAGACCTTGTCTACAGTCTAGCCAATAATCAACAACACCCATGCAGGCAACAAAAGACACTGTGATGAACTAAGACACCTGGCCTTTCCTCTCAGTCCCACTTGGCGCTCTGTACTTTTCTTCAAACTTTTCTGTGATTTCACAGCTGGGAGCCAGCAACAATACAGTCTGCAGTTTTCAAATGGTCAGGCCGATCCAGCATAAGGCATTTAGGACAATGACCATTGGGTATCAGCAGAAATTGGACAACCAAGCGCCTTATCTTACTTCTAAAATGGCAGGCAGAATTCCAGACCCATTCACTGAAATAAGGCACACATTTCATAAAGAGAAAGCCAAAGAAAAACAAACAACAGGGCCTTGTCCAGGTGAGTGCCTGTTGGTAGCTTAGAGGTGAAGACAATAGAGATTCTTTATCTGCAGTGTGATCCCATTTTTGCTATTTGTCTTAGCCATGAATGTACCAGCAAATCCAATGCTGGTCTTAATCGTCTGCTCATACTTCAGTAGGTTGTGTATTGTTAATAGTAGTAGCAGCAGTAGTAGTAATAGTAATAGTAATAGTAGTAAAGTAATAGTAGTAGTAGTAATAAACATTTTCAATGAGCACATCCATATTGACACTGCTTCTAATTGGACCACTTTATACGACTCCTTTCTACTCAGTTTAACAAACCCTTGCTGAAAACCTTCATTCCTGGCAGGAGTTAGTTTCACAAAATCTATATACCCTGGTCATGTCTCTAACTCAATAATTCCACCACAACCAAAAATTCTGGAGCAGGAGTCATCATTAACTTTTTGTGGAATTTGTATTTTATAATATCACTTGGGAAGAAATAATGCTTGAGGTGTATTTACTAACTTGAGAATTTAACATGTTGACGAAAAGAAATTGTGACAGGGTGAACTTTGAAAGCTGGCTGTTCCTGCTGTTAAGCCCTGATAATTCGCCATCTTGCAAGTGCTGAGCCAGCACTATTAAGAGGAACTCCTCAGAAGCAGAACAGTCAGATCCACAGGCAGGCTGCCTCCATATTTCCTTCACAGGTTTGACTGCATTCAGCACCTTGGGCTTGGAAGCCTTTGAAGGCCAAAGATGCATATTTATGAAGCGACAGATTCAAAAGAAATCGCCTGTCCTTGGGAATTGCTTTGATGGCCGGCTAATAGCAAGGTCTGTGCAATGCTGAGGAGTCTGCCGTGCCCCCCACCCCCATGAATTTCAAGGAGATGTAACGCTCTTATGCTGGAAAAAGAGTATGACCTGATTGAACCATCAAGTGTCTCTCCTTCAAAATAAATATCTACAACAATAAATGGAACCTGCGGCTCTGCAGACTTATGCTTGGTCTCTAGAACATTTCTCTGACACCCTGCTTCTGTACTGTGTGGGGCAGAAAGAGGCCACTTCCACACCATACATTTAAAGTACCATGACATCACTTTAAACAATCATGTTGTTGTTGTTGTTTAGTCGTCTTAGTCGTGTTCGACTCTCCGTGACCACATGAACCAGAGCATGCCTTGGAAACTCTCCATTTCTTCTCAAAGCTTCTCTTTTTTTATGTCCATGGAGTTTCCTTGGCAAAATACTGGAGTGGATTGCCAGTTCCTTCTCCAGGTGGATCACATTTAGTCTAAACTCTCGGCTATGACCTGCCCATCTTGGGTGGCCCTGCATGGCATAGCTCATAGCTTCCTGGAGTTATTCAAGCCCCTTCGCCATGACAAGCCAGTGATCCATGAAGGGGTTAAACAATCCCAGAAAATTATGGGAGCTTGTTAATAGTTGTTAGAAGACCCACAGAGCTACAATTTCCAGAGACATTGAACAATCAAGCTCTCTGTGAGGGGAGCAGGGGCCTTCTGACAACTCACAGCACCCTTACAAAGCACAGCTCCCAGAATTCTTTGAGGGAAGCCACGGCTGTTTAAAATGGCATCATAGTGCTTTAAATATGTGGTGTGACTGTGACCCCAGTCCTTGGAAGCTCACAAAGGGCCTCGTAGTGATAGCAGCACCGTCTTATTCCACAGTCACCACCCTCAACACGAGGCATATTGTCTCTGACTAGGGATCTTTCATTTTGGGGTTTCAGTAACAAGTCTCTCAGCTCCATTAATCTCCCTAATCCTGTTACAAAAACCCTGTGTGCCTGTGCCTGCCATCCTCACATCTTGTGGCCAGGAATCTCATGAGCTGATTAGTCCATTGCATGCATCATCTGTGCTTCCTTTCAATCCGCTGTCAATCAGCGGGTTCGACTGTTTTCTGTTGAATCACCTTCTTCACAGGAAGCACAGCTTCATAAAACTCTCTCATGCCCTGTGTTAGTCACCTTTTCCAACAATAAAAACATGGGAAAGCCTCAACCTCCGCTGTGTTGGCCGCATGGTGAAACCAGGATGAGCTGTCACTTTTTCTTTGATGGGTTTACCAATTCTACAAACCCTTTGAGATGAAGAGATTGTGATTCAGTACCCTCATGATCCAACCCATGTTTTGAAAGTTTCCAAGACGTAAAGAGCTGTGATTCTTTACATGTTAGAACAGCTGAAATATTGCAAATCTTGTCAGTTCCGTATAAAAATTGTCAACGTGACCTTAAGTGTGTAATCATAACATTGGCCTCCAGTTCCCTTTTGTAGCTTGATTTTGTGGCATGTGGTGTGTTTCTTTTAAAAAATAAAATAAAAATGGGTACCTCCCCAGAACACAGCTGCCTCTTATCCCCTGAATTCACATTTTATGAAACTAATTTCTTGTTGGGCCAGCATCTCAAGGATAACACATGGGTGTTTTAGTAAAATTTGTTTCAGCCCAATGGAGCAATGATACTAAATATGTAAATTAATAAGGGGGTGGATTTGGACATGCTCTTACATGAAGGACCACCTTATCCCATATCACTTTGTGGGATCTGCTCTGTATCCCTCTTCTATCTGGGGGAGGAATTAAGACAGGAGTGGGAATTTGGGTCTGCTCAGTGAGCTGAGACCCTTATTTCCTCTACCTCTGTGATATGTGATACTTTGAAGCCCTTGTAGTTCGCTGATCATTCAGACTTCCATACATGACTCTATGCTTCTCCTTCTCCTTCACCTCAGGCAGCAAAATGTCTTGGATTGGCCCTGGTCAACCACCAATGTACCATGCAGCATGCCTTGAGATGCCACTGGACTGTTCCAAAATGACCAACTTAACCTGTCAGTATGCCTCCTCCCATGAAAAATACAGATGGTATCTCAGTCTACTATCTATCAGTTTAAATTTCTATCTCCCTTTTCCCTCACCACTGTGATTTCTGCAGCTGGCTGGGTCGACCCTGTAGCCCTGCAGCAACTAACTACAGCAGAGGAACAATATCAGTCCACTGGGAACTGATTTTGCTATGCAACAGCAAATACGCTGCGAGTTGCATTTCCACATGGAAAGCTAGCAAGTAAATAATAAATAATGCTGGTCTCGTACTCTTATCTCCCCCCACAGCTAACCTTTTCCATATGTTATGGGGATTTCACAAGGAATAGATGAGTGCTGTCACAGTCTTGACCCAGATACCGTCCACAGCTTTTTGATGTGGCGCACATGTCATGTGGTTATTTTAGCACTGGGCATGTGATTTCATCAAAGTCATTGCATTCTCCATATGATGAGCAAAGTCAGTTGACTGAGAAGGTGGTGAATTATGATTTGGAGACTTAAAACAAAACAAGACAAGGACAACAGTTTTACAATGTAATTTTATATAATTAAAATAACAAGTTGGCAATTGACATAAGGGGTAAAAAAATTATGGAAAAGCACAAAGGTGGCAACACATTATCAATTAAATGCCAGGCGCATTCCAATCACAAATGTATATGAATATGAATATAATTACAATGTGCTCTAATGGAACCTCTGATTATTTAGAAGAACAAAGGACAATTAATTCATCTATCATTGCTCCAGTCCACCAGTAGTTTCCCTTCTGCAAGACTATGTATATGCTCTGTTTGATAATGGTTGGGGAGTAATTTGAATCAGAAGCCCCACTGATACTCAGCTTCCTCTGCTGAAAAATAAAGCTGAAATCTCAATGCTGATGGCATTTGGGAGCAAGATCTAACAAGTTCAGGATCTCAGTCTGTTTAGCAATTATATCTTCTTTTGCCAAAAAACTTACACACACACACACACACACACACACTTGAGAAACATAGACTTTAAAGCAATCAAATGACCGGGTCAGAATAGTGAATCAATTCATACCAACCTCTCTCCACATTAAAAAGGAACAAGAGTGTTAGGAACTTACATATTTTTTTGTGTTTGTGTGCGTGTGATTTCTTACTTGCCCTTCACTATACGTATTTCCAGGGTAGGTTACAACATTACAAGAGACAATTGTAAAAAAACATTTAAAGCCATTGCAATGATAAAACAAGTAAAGGGATTTCAAATGGATCGGAACAGTAAAAATTTAATATGAGAAATGGATCCCACATATCAATATACCTGAACTGTCAAATGACAAGTTAAAGAGG